GAAAGCAAGTCTAAGAAGCTGTAGATCTGTTCTATGTGCGCTTTTTCTTTGCTTCCCATTCTTACGTTTAGTTTTTGCGTTTTTTACGTTCGGTTTTGTACACCACCTTCAAACAGCTGAAAATCCAATATTTTTGGTTATGGAAAACGTATTTCACAGCGGTTTAGATGGTACAATGATTCTCTACACTATACTTGCTTGTTTTGCCAAATAAACTGAAATTAAGCGAATTATTAGAATATTTGCAACCAGGAAATGTGTAACTTTTTCTGCATAGTGCACCATTAAGAAATTGTAGAAATAGGCGGGGTTTATGACGTTGTGGCTGTGGTAAGTAGTGATGACAGGCAGTGTTGCCAACTTAGCGACTTTGTCGCTATATTTAGCGAGTATTCAGACCCCTCTAGCGACACATTTTCAAAAGATTGACTAGCGACAAATCTAGCGACTTTTTCTGGTGTTATTGGAGACTTTTGGAGACTCTGACGTGAAAGCACGTATCATTCTTACTCTTCTCAACAAGCAGCGGGTGCTGCCGTGGGCCCCGCCCCCTCAACAAGCAGCGGGTGCTGCCGTGGGCCCCTTCCCCGTCCCAAAGCACTCACTGGTGGCCCAGTCCTCGCGCAGCAGTCCCTCCCAGCTGCAGTCAGAGCAGGAGATGTTCACCCCTCAGCGTCCAGACTGAAAATGAATCGCGCATGTGGGAAGCCGCCGCTGGCTGATCCCGCCCTGGCTTACATTCAGGGCGGGATGTAAATGTAAAATGTTCTTTGTCTAAAATAGATCACTGCATTTGACTCACACAGCCTCAGTCACTTACTCACCTCATCCACTGTGTGTGTGCCTCTCTGTGACATAAGCTAAACATCTAGCTGGCTAGCTCATCATGTCTCAGTCTAAACTGTACACTCAAAAATACAGAAAGGAGTGGGAATCAAACCCTGAATTCAAAGGCTGGTTGAAGCCGTTTATTGGAGATGATATACAGTCATACTGCCTGTATTGTAAGGCTGATTTCTACGCCAAACAACTCAAAAACATACTCAAAAGGCAAAGCCTAATAACAGTCCACCCAAAACAAGCTGCCATTTATGGTAAAAAAAATTGACTCTGCAAAAAAGGCTGAGGCCACCATGGCATTCGCTATCGCTGAACACTGTTCCGTGCTGGCATGTGATCACATTGGAGAAGCATGTAGAGCTGTGTCGTAGTAAATATATAATGTTATAGCTTGGTCTGACTAAAATCTTGTGCATGACCCATTTTGTGTTGGGCGTTTGTTTTCAATCAATGCTGTTCCTATCCAATAACAATGGACAAAAGGGTCCTATCTTGTCAGCCTTGTCAGCAGGTGGCCAAGGACAACACCCACGCCATAGGTCTCTCAGTTCTTCCAACTCACGAGTTCTTGCTCTGAGGACACACACACACACACACACACACACACACACATCATCACTGATAACACACACACACACACACACACACACACACACACACACACACATCATCACTGTTAAACACACACACACACACACACACACACAAAAATCCCCTCTCTTAGGCTGAACATTTGAAGACAGAGAACCCGACTCAGAGCCAAATGCAACAGTGACACTAGCCTGAAGGGGACCTCACCCAACTCATCAGGACCAATCAGAAGATCAGAACTACTAGATTCAACCTACTTCATTTATTGCATAAAATGTCTGCACACAATGTTTCGGGGCTCTCTTCAGATAAACTCCCTACGAGTTTGACGAACGAGTCCGTGCACGCTATTCCAGATATCTTTACCTCTGAATAAACTGCCTTATATTATACAATTATCCACCTTGTCCAAAAGTCTCTACTTGGTCTCAGTTCTCCAGTAAACTTGTGATCATCAACAGCTGCTTTCTTACTTGGCACTAGAGACTTATAACTGGTTTTCAGTGTCTCCAAAGCGCAGGGAGGCCTACAAGGCCATATATGAGACCATCAACTGTGGGGAGAAACCTTTACAGATAACCAAGGTGTGTGCCACACGTTGGCTCTCCATTGAACCCGCGGTTTCACGCATTTTGGACCAGTGGGAGGAGCTTAGGCTGCATTTCACAGTCACCAAGTCCAGTGAACACTGCTACATGGCTGAGGTTTTATACTTCATGTACAGTGATCCTCAAACCATATTGTATCTGACTTTTTTGAAGTCAGTGCTGGGTGAGATACAGTTGGCCATCAAGGCTTTTGAGGGAGAGCAAATAGATCCTCTTAAGCTACTTGACAGCTTGGTTAGACTGATCAAGTCTGTGAGCAGCAGGGTGCTGAATCCACTGGCAAATGTTGATGTGCTCAAAGGGCCAACAGATGGATACATCAGTCCCAAACCGTACCTTGGTTACCTTTTAGAGTCAAAGGCAGCTGAGCTCCACCTTGCGCCTGAGGATGAAAACAATGTCCAAAAGCGGTGTAGCCTTCACCATCTCTCTCAATAATGAGTTGAGGGTGAGACTGCCGGACAACATCGAAGCATTGCAGTACATGTCAGTTTTCAATGTGTAGGAAACTCTAAAGCACAATAAGAGCCCTGGAGAAATATAAAAAATTGCCAAGCTCCTTGGCTATTCCCCTGCAGCGATAGACAAGATTGTCCTGTAATGGTGTGCCATCCATCTCAGTAAATGGAATGAGACAAAAAACACACTGGGCTTCTGGAGTGAGATTTGGAAGTTCAGGGATGCAGCTGATATCAACCTGTTTCAAGAGCTTGCCATGGCTGCTGTGTCTGTGTTGTCCTTGCCACACTCGAATGCTGAAGTCGAGAGAGTATTCAGCCAGATGAGTGTGGTAAAAAGCAAACTTAGAAATCGGATGTCCTTGCAGACCCTTAACTCCATCCTGTACATTCGATATGGACTGAAGCTGTCTGGTGAGGCTTGCTATAAGCACCAGCTGCCTGATAATGTTTTGCAGCTTTTTGGTACATCAGCTGCTTACTCATTTAAGTCAACTCCCTCAGATGCTGAACCTTCCATAGAGAGTCTTGACCAAAATGACGATGACCCACTCTTTCTGTGAGCCAGCACAGCCTGTGTGTGTGTGGAGGGGGGTCTGAAAAACAACAACAATTAAACTAGGGCCAGACTAGTTACCATCATTTTCTCACATTGCCATTGACTGTTTTTTCTATTGTCTCTTTTTGGTCCATTTAGATTGTTAATGTAGATTTTGTATACAATTTTTTTATTTTTATGTTATGGTTAAAAATGTTCATGTTTTACTGTGACTTGTTGAAGGCTCCTAAGTGGACCATAAGGTTAAAAACCAAACCAAACTTAAGAAAACGAAACAAAAAAACAAAAAATAAAAAAAAATAAGTAACTCCGCCAGAGTGTCTCTTTTGGGTCACTTTTGCCGGTCCCAAGCCCGGATAAAGGAGGAGGGTTGGAATTGTGACATAAAAAAACCAGAGAATTGACAGAAGAAAGTTCATTTGTAGTTCTAAACATATTTAGGGTGTTTTTAACTTACTTTTTGTCTCTCCCACGACGTTATTCCTCTCTCCTACAGCATCCATCACAATTACATGCACATGGCAAATTATGCAAATTAGGTGATGACGTCATTTAGAGACTTTTAGGACAGCCAATAGCTACTTTCCTGACAGGCATGTTTGGACAAATTCACTATAGTGATCTTATTAAATTAGTAGAGGGGCTATGTCATAAACCCTCAAAGTTCTATAATGGGGCCAAAATGGCAGCCATCTTGGTCAGGGAGAAATCCAAAACCAGTCTAATTGGAATGAATGGCAGTAGAGGCGGCATCGGTAAAAATCTAATCAAACTTTATTTGTCATATGCACCGAATACAACAGGTGTAGACCTTACCGTGAAATGCTTACTTACAAGCCCTTAACCAACAATGCAGTTCAATAAATAAACTAAAGTAAAAAATAAAATAAAAAGTAACACAATAAAATAACAATAACGAGGCTATATACAGGGGGTACCGGTACCGAGTCAATGTGAGGGGTACAGGTTAGTCGAGGTAATTTGTACATGTAGGTAGGGGTAAAGTGACTATGCATAGATAATAAACAGCGAGTAGGGGGGTGTCAATGTAAATAGTCCAGGTGGCCATTTGATTAAGTGATGATTGATAGGTGCTTTTACTTACGCAGGAAAATAAAAGTAAGGCATGTGATGTATCAGAAATTGTGTAATGGAATTATAATCAACCTAAAATATTGTCATATAATTATAAATACAGTTTATATGGGCTTGACACAAATTTTCTGTATAAATAGCCTCTAAAATATATGTCAAGAGTCCATAAATGTCTCAGATTTTGTTTTCTTGGAAAGCTGTGAGTGCTATTATATGATACCATATCAGTACTTGTTGCATTTACAACTTGTCTAAGTCCTATCATCAACTGATTTGAGCAAGTGTTTGGCTGTGGATTGACTGCATTGTTTGAATGGAATATTGGCAGTTAATTAGAAAAATGTATGGAATCATTCTTGTAAAACTGGCTGGCTAGCTAGCTAACACACCTACAGTGCAGATAAATTATTCACATTCATTGTTTTACACAATATCTTATCACAGCACTGGCAACTCATGGTTGACCAACTCCCTGACCAACATGGCTGACATTTGGACCATCATAAGGTTCATGGCCTTTCTAGCATTCTCCTATCTTTATAAATGCACACAGTCAACCATTTTTATTTATTTGTATTATTATTAACAACAAATCAATGCAAAAAGTACATGGGGGGAATACAAGTATATATAAAGAATATACAAAGGACAATTGGGCTAGGGGGTACAATATCACATTACACAAGGACCTTATGGGGCACACACTTATAATTCGAACAGCTTTTTTGTTGGTAGAGTATTTAATTGTCTTAAACTATAGTTCAATTTGCGCACTGTCAACCAGGAATTGAGAAGAGCAGACGTCGTTACGTCACGTCAGAGAATATTAGTTGGCCAACCAAGAGTTTTCTAGGAGTTCTTCGGCACGCTGAACAATCAGGTGATCTTCAGTCGCTCGAGGCTTGTGATACTTACAGGATACAGAATGGCAGACATGAGAAAGACTGAAAAGTTCCAGTTACATGTCCCGAAATTGGAGGAATTATGTGAAGGTAAAACATATTTGGGAAATTGCGATCTAGTGTTATGCATGGATTTGCTGAACACTTGATTTAAAATTATATTTAACTGTCTGGTTCATATCTTCCTTTCCTCCACTTGCGACTACAGTGTTGCAGAGAGGGCTGAAGAACAATTTTGCTGACGCGCAAGTTTGTGTTGTCGACTGTCCAGACCTCACTCAAGACCCGTTTAAGTTTCCCGTCAAGGGTAACACATTGCAACTTCTTGCAACATTGTATCGTTTTGCATTTTCTTAATTTTTATGCAGTGATACTTTGTTACCATCTCTTTTACCTATCGACAGGGTTGTGTGGAAAACCTCGCATTACAGATGTGGGGGGAGTGCCATATTTGGTCCCCCTGGTCAAAGTGGACAAGGTACAGTGAATGAAAGCCATAGCGATAAACTAATGTGAGATAAATGCTATAACAATTGGTCCAATATAAATTCTTATTTCTCTCAAGGAGTACAACATGAACACTGTGTCAAAGGAATTGGAGCTACCTGGAGCATTTATTATTGGTGCAGGAGCTGTATCCTCCAAAAATGTTGGAATGAATGCAGAGGTTTGTTAGCTGTCAAAATTATCTTCCCATTGTCTTGATATATTAATGGAGTGTTTTGTCAGACTTATTATGATTACAAGAATAGAAAGACTTCCTAAAGCTGACAATTTCGATTACAAACGTTGGGAGGATAGGATACATTATGGCAGAGTGGTTAGGTTAAATGCGCAAGAGACATTTCAGTTGAATGCATTCAGTTGTGCAACTGACTAGGTGTCCCCTTTTCCCTTTAAATTAGACATGACTTAGTTGAAGATGTTTGTTTTATTAATCAATAAGTTGAGTCTTATCTCATTTTGATTATCATCACCCCAGATGATGCCTCTGGTGCTCACTGAAGCTGAGGGAAGGCCTGCAGTGAATAGCAGCTGGTTTTCCTCCATCAATCCAGCTGATGACCAGTGTCTACTGGAGAAATACAGCGATAAATTCTCAGACTGTGACTTTGGACTGCTGGCGAACTTGTATGCATGTGAGGGAAAGTCTGGAAAGGTAAGACATGGATGGTTTGGATGGTAAGAGAATGGTGCGTGTGATTAAAACTATATTGATGTTTTTGATTTTTGGAATTATAACTATTATAACTATAATGCTCGTAACAAGTTAAAAACCAAGTGAGATTTTAGGTCTGAGTATCGTTTAAATTATGCTTAATCATTGTGTATTACTCATTATTTTTCTTCCTTTTTAATAATACCCTCATCTGGTTATGAATTTGCATAAACAAAGTGCCCTTGTCACACCCTGGCTCTGGGACTCATTATGTTGAGCCAGGGTGTGTTCATTTCTATGTGTGTATTTCTATGTTGGTGTTCATTCTAGTTTGTTGTATTCTATGTTTGCCTGAGTGACTCCCAATCAGAGGCAACGAGTGTCAGCTGTTGGCTGGTTGTCTCTGATTGGGAGCCATATTTAAACTGTATGTTTTCCCTTTGTGGTTGTGGGTTTTTGTTCCGTGTTCGGTCATTGATACCGTGGACGTCACGAGTCGTTTCTTGTTTTGTTTCGTGCTTTAACTAATTAAAGTCATGTTTGTTCATCACGCTGCGCCTTGGTCTACTTCTCTCCCTGACGATCGTGACAGCCCTTTAGATTCATGATTTAAATCATGTTTTAAACAGACTAAGACCTCCCTGTCTGTGTTTGCTCCAAAGGTTTACTTTAGGTCAACAAATATTAACAGGAGAAAAGGGACTCTGAACTGGTTGTGTAATCAGTGCTGAAAATGTAGTTTTTCTCCTTGTCACTGTCAGGTCATAGAGGTGAGAGCCAAAAGGAGAATAGGAGAAGAGAGCCTTGTGGGTGCTCTGAGGAAGACCATGGAGGAGCACTACCCTGATAAAAGCCTGGCTCTGGGGGGCACCTTCCTCATCCAGAAAGGGAAGGCCAAGATACATATCATGGTAAAAACATAAAACATGCAGATATTTGTGTTGACAGGATTCTGTGACATGGTGTTGTGGTTCCAAGGCTCAATGCATGCTTATCGCTTAAAGGGGCAATCTGAAGTTGAAAAAACAACAAAGCAGACTCCCTGCCACTGTTTTGGTAAAAAGCAGAGGGACGGGGCTGGAGAAATGTAACCACTCTCAATTCTTAGACATAGATTTGGATGCAAGGACTGACCATCCATGATATCAAAATTATAGTTTTAACCATGTTTTGAGGCTACACAGTGTGTTTACATGTACTTTGTTTACAAACATCATATATTTTGGGTTCTGATGGGGTACGACAGTTGACCTAAGCACATGAGGCATTTATAAGTTATATTCTTCAAGAGTCAATGGGTACATACAGTGCATTCAGAAAGTATTCAGACACCTTCCTTTTTTCCACATTTTGTTACTTTACAGCCTTATTCTAAAATGGATTAAATAAATAAAAATCTCATAAATCTACACACAATATCCCATAATGCCAAAGTGAAAACAAGTTTAGACATTTTTGCAAATGTATAAAAAATTAAAAATAAAACTGTATTTACATAACTATTCAGACCCTTTGCTATGAGACTCGAAATTGAGCTCAGGTGCATCCTGTTTCCATTGATCGTCCTTGAGATGTTTCTGCAACTTGATTGGAGTCCATTGGTGGTAAATTCAATTGATTGGACATGATTTGGAAAGGCACACACCTGTCTATATAAGGTCCCACAGTTGACAGTGCATGTCAGAGCAAAAGCCATGAGGTTGAAGGAATTATTCGTAGAGCTCAGAGACAGGATTGTGTCGAGGCACAGATCTGGGGAAGGGTACCAAAAAATGTCTGCAGCATTAAAGGTCCCCAAGAACACAGTGGCCTCCATCATTCTTAAATGGAAGTTTGGAACCACCGAGACCTTTCCTAGATCTGGCCGCCTGGTTAAACTGAGCAATCGGGGGAGAAGGGCCTTGGACAGGGAGGTGACCAAGAACCCGATTGTCACTCTGACAGAGCTGCAGAGTTCCTCTGTGGAGATGCGAGAAGCTTCCAGAAGGACAACCATCTCTGCAGCACTCCACCAATCAGGCCTTTATGGTAGAGTGGCCAGACGGAAGCCACTCCTCAGTAAAAGGCACATGACAGCCCGCTTGGAGTTTGCCAAAAGGCACCTAAAGGACTCTGACCATGAGAAACAAGATTCTCTGGTCTGATGAAACCAAGATTGAACTCTTTAGCCTGAATGCCAAGCGTCACGTATGGAGGAAACCTGGAACCATTCCTACGGTGAAGCATGGTGGTGGCAGCATCATGTTGTGGGGATGTTTTTCAGGGACTGGGAGACTAGTCAGTATCGAGGGAAAGATGAACGAGCAAAGTACAAAGATATCCTTGATGAAAACCTGCTCCGGAGTGCTCAGGACCTCAGACTGGGGCGAAGGTTCACCTTCCAACAGGACAACAACCCTAAGCACACAGCCAAGACAACGCAGGAGTGACTTCGGCACAAGTGTCTGAATGTCCTTGAGTGGCCCAGCCAGAGCCCGGGCTTGAACATGATCGAACATCTCTGGAGAGACCTGAAAATAGCTGCAGCGACGCTCCCCATCCAACCTGACAGAGTTTGAGAAGATCTGCAGAGAAGAATGGGAGAAACTCCCCAAATACAAGTGTACCAAGCTTGTACATTTTACATTTTAGTCATTTAGCAGACGCTCTTATCCAGAGCGGCTTACAGTTAGTGAGTGCATACATTATTTTCTATTTTTTCATACTGGCCCCCTGTGGGAATCGAACCCACAACCCTGGCGTTGCAAACGCCATGCTCTACCAACTGAGCTACATCCCTGCCGGCCATTCCCTCCCCTACCCTGGACGACGCTGGGCCAATTGTGCGCCGTCCCATGGGTCTCCCGGTCGCGGCCGGGAGTGTCATACCCAAGAAGACTTGAGGATGTAATCGCTGCCAAAGGTGCTTCAACAAAGTACTGAGTAAAGGGTCTGAATACTTATGTAAATGTGATATTTCCGTTTTCTATTTTTAATACATTTGCAAAAAAATCAAAAAATTAGTTTTTGCTTTGTCATTATGGGGTATTGTGTGTAGATTGATGAGGGGAAAAAAGGCTGTAACGTAACAAAATGTGGAAAAAGTCAAGGGGTCTGAATGCTTTCCGAATGCACTGTATCATTAATTTATATGTCCAAAAAGGATGTAGCAACTGCAGTTGCCCCTTTAACTTATCTAATTGCCATGACTTAAAATGTTTGTCGTCAAACCACAGCAAAGGACACCAACAGTGTCAGAACTTATGTAGCCCTTTTTACTGAGGCCTCAAAGAGAGCATTACCAAATCCCATGTGTTGTCTTTCTGGTGACCCTGTGCATAGCCAAGGGAGTTCTCAGCCTGCCCACTCAACTCCAACGATGATGTGAACAAGTGGCTGAAACATTTTGAGGTCAGCGCCCCACTGATCTGCCAGTCTGTGATGGTCTCCAGAGACCCCGTAAGTATAGACTTAATCTACTATCCCTAACGTGACTTTTTGTTTTCGCTTTTTGCACTTTTTACTAACTGGCTTTTTTTTGCTATTCAGGGTTTAGACCTACGTTTGGAGCACACTCACTGCTTCAGCCACCATGGAGAGGGTGGTCACTACTACATAGACACCACTCCTGACACTGTGGAATACCTGGGTTACTTCATGCCTGCCGAGTTCGTCTACCGCATTGACCGACCCAGTGAGACCCACAAAGTTGGGCAAGACTGAAACATGACAAGAGACTTGACAGTCAAATCAATGTTAGAAAGTCTGACCTTTTGATCTGGATTATCTAACTGAATCAATTATTAATGATCATCTACAATCTATCTTACATTATGCATTTTTCAAAAGGCCTTTGATTTGATGATTTTTCAACAAAGTCCACATTTGTTTTAGTCAAGATAATATTGTGCAATTAAAACTCAACGTTTTCAATAACTCAGAAACATTTCAAGAATCGTGTGATAAACATGCATTTGATTCAAATAATTGTAACATTTCATTATGTTGTACTTTTGGGAATAAACACAGTGTGTGAAAATGAATGAAAAAATAACTGTAATGAAAGATAAATACACATTTCATTTAGTCATTTTTGTTTTTTCTGGATAATAAAATAGATTTTTGAACAACTTACTTTGCAAATGTGCGATAATATGGTACAAAATGCGCAAGGAGGCCAGGGGAAAGGCAGCCTTGCTGTGTGCCTTTCTCCAGCCCATCAAACTCGATGCAAGCACTGGCTGCTTTCGAGTGCATCAAAACAACTGCAGGCGACTGCTGACTGACTGATCTACAAATCACCTTGCATCATAAATAACACTCATTATTATTTGTAGATCAGTCAGTCAGTCACAATTTACCCATGATACATTGCTGTTTTGATCCTCTCAAACACGGCCACTGACGTGACATGCGCATGTTTGTTTCTACCTTATACTGCCAGGTAACGGATGCCGAAAGGTAGGCAGAGAGCTTTGCTGCCTTTCATGGTTGTCACTAGTTACCACAACCACAAAGTAAAAAGTGGCTATATCATAAATATTAATGAACATTTCTTCATTTAAGGTTAGCAGTGTGATTAAGGTTAGGTTTATAATCAGATTTTGAGAAGAAATTGTAGAAATAGGCGGGATTTAGCCACAATTAGGACTTTGTGGTAGTGGTAACTAGTGATGACTGCCTATCATGTGTCAATGGCCGTGTTCGAGAGCATCAAAACTGTGATGTATCATGGGTAAATTCTGACTGACTGACTGATCTATAAATAATAATGAGTAGTTATTTATGATGCAAGGTGATTTGTAGATCCGTCAGTCGGCAGTCGCCTGCAGTCGTTTTGATGCTCCCGAACGCAGCCAATATGTCCCATTCATTTTCATTGCACTCAAATAATAAATGTGCATGCGTATTGCTGTGAAAAAAGTAATGGGATAGGCAGAGCTCGCTCCTGCCTGTGGACATCACACGTCATCTGCCGCCTGTTGGCGGTTACATTTGTTTTACTGCTAGCTAAAGAAAGTAAGCTGATCGGGATGGCTAACAAATTGCATCTGAAACAGTTTTCAAAGTTGGATTTTCTAGCGAAACAGAGAGTGATACAGGATAGAAGACCAACACCTGAGCTTAGGGACCTACATCAAATAAAAGGGACCGAAAATAACATGATCATTTCAGTCTGAGTGGTATAAAAGGAAAGACTGGCTATGTGGAACTATTACTTGCCTTTGCTGAATTTTCTTTACAGTTAGCAACCCATTTAGAGAACGCCACCTTGTTTGCTTCTTGCTCATGGCCTATAGTGGAATTTTCAATGAAACTGACACGCTCTTCCGTGTTCTGCAGAACAAAGTGATGGATATGGGTTTCTGCCTTACCCGTGTCAGCGACACAATGAAATCACTGGAACAGCAGCGACAAGATTTTGATAGTTTCTATGAGCGATTCGAGCAGAACTGCAATGAACTGGGCCTGGAAAGAAAGCGAAACTTGTAGTAAACAGCCGATCAAAGTAGAGAGGGGGCGAATATACTACAACATACTGGACAATATTAATGTTCAGATGAGAGGCAAGTTTGATGCGCGACCCACGTGACTACACAGCGAGCTGTGACTCAAGTGAAGGGGCGCGTTCGATCAGATCACTTTTGTCAAGACGTTGACCAATGTTGGTCACCGCCTTTCAAAGTGTGTTGCATTATGGCTACAACAATTGTCCGACTTGGGACTACATGTCGACTGCTGCATGACCTTTACAAGAACCATGTGATCAAGGGTCATGAAATTTCTGCAGTTGCCCCTCACCAACTGCAACTTGAAGTCGGAACCAAAGCACTGTGGGAGACAAACTTCTGTTTTTTTTGGAAGCAAAAGGCACTACATGCTCATAAATGGTTGATGGCGCCACCTATCATTGGTATTATCAATGCATGTTTACTGTTTTGGGTGGATGACTATTTAGAGCTTAAATACATCTTTATCCTTACATCCTTAAATACGTATTTATCTAATCTAATTACATAGGCCTGCATGTGATCCACATTTCTAACATAAATAAATTAAATATACTACTTGCAACAATATAGCTAATGTATTTATCTAGATGTTACTGTAATGTTGTGTCCCATGTTATAGCCTACAAATAGTCTTGTCTGTAATATTGTTGTCACCAAACAAATTCAAATCTGTTAATTGTCTATTAAATGTGAATAACATTGTATACATATTGTAGGCTACACATGGGTTATTGTAGGGAATTTCTACACTGGCAATATTAGAGGCTGTCTGGGAAACCGGACCTTAATGAGCAAGTACCCCAGACACCAGTCGTGGGGTCAATACCAAGTGCATTTGAATGCTTGGCATATTGCTTGGCATATTGTTTACCCAGTAACTTATGTGAACTGATGTACATGTATAGTCTAATCATTTTCTGTACAGTGAGTGTTTTGGCCTTCATGTGATTTAATCCAATTCTGTTCTTTACATGCTTACTGACAAAAACAACATAAAGGTTGAGAATTAAAGAAATACACTGCAGGCTGTAATGATGCTGACATGCAATCAATTACCATACAGTAAGAATCTTTGTGGACTCCATTTAATTACATCTGTTACAATTCTACAGTGCATTCTGAAACATTTTGTTACGTTACAGCCTTATTCTAAAATTGATTAAATTGTTATCCCCCCTCATCAATCTACACACAATACCCCATAATGACGAAGCAAAAACAATTTTTTTGACATTTTTGCAAATGTATAAAAAATAAAAAACAGAAATATCACAATTACATAATTATTCAGACCCTGTCGTGGAAATTCTTACACAGGGACACTCAAAGTCAATCTTAAATGAATCATTGTTTATTAACAGTTAACTGGAGAGGTTCCAACAAACTTGATGCACCATAGTGAACGACTGTCATGAGCTCTACCGGGGCAGTCCCGTTAGTTCCCTTATATACAGACAAGTTGTATTTGCATGATTTAGCTTATTCATTCATAATTAATTCATCATTAATGTTTGCTTCATTCACGTGACCGACCAATACTGGGTTATGCATGTGACAGACCAATACCTCACGAGGCTTCTTCTCTCTAAGCTGAGATATCTTTCGTTCTCAAAACAAGGGTCTGGGCGTACTGCAAATTGCAGATACTGATAGTGAGGGTTCGTTTAATCAGTCACTTGCATGAACACAGAAAACGGTTATTAGAAAAGCACAAACATAGAAAAACAGAAATTGGTAAATAGAAAAGCACCAACATAACAGTTTCCATCACAACCCTTTACTCAGTACTTTGTTGAAGTACCTTTGGCAGTGATTACAGGCTCGATTATTCTTGGGTATGACGCTACAGCTTGGCACACCTGTATTTGGGGAGTTTCTCTCATTCTTCTCTGCAGATCCTCTCAAGCTATGTCAGGTTGGATGGGAAGCGTCGCTGCACAGCTATTTTCAGGTCTCTCCAGAGATGTTCGATTGGGTTCAAGTCCGGACTCTGGCTGGACCACTCAAGGACATTGGGTTCAAGTCTGGGCTCTGGCTGGACCAATCGAACATCTCTGGAGAGACCTGAAAATAGCTGTACAGCGACGCTCCCCATCCAACCTGACAGAGCTTGAGAGGATCGAGCCTGTAATCACTGCCAAAGGTACTTCAACAAAGTACTGAGTAAAGGCTCCCGAGTGGCGCAGTGGTCTAAGGCACTGCATCTCAGTGCTTGAGGCGTCACTACAGACTCCCTGGTTCGATTCCAGGCTGTATCACAACTGGCCGTGATTGGGAGTCCCATAGGGCGGCGCACAATTGGCCCAGCGTCATCCGGGTAAAATAAAAATCAGAGACTTGTCCCAAAGCCACTCCTTCGTTGTCTTGGCTGTGTGCTTAGGGTTGTTGTCCTGTTGGAAGGTGAACCTTTGACCCAGTCTGTGGTCCTGAGCGCTCTGGAGCAGGTTTTCATCAAGGATCTCTCTGTACTTTGCTCCGTTCATCTTTCCCTCGATCCTGACTAGTTTCCCAGTCCCTGCCGCTGAAAAACATCCCCACAGCATGATGCTGCCACCACAATGCTTCACCGTAGGGATGGTGCCAGGTTTCCTCCAGACGTGACGCTTGGCATTCAGGCCAAAGAGTTCAATCTTGGTTTCATCAGACCAGAGAATCTTGTTTCCATGGTCTGAGAGTCTTTACGTGCCTTTTGGCAAACTCCAAGCTGGCTGTCATGTGCCTTTCACTGAGCAGTGGCTTCCGTCTGGCCACTCTACCATAAAGGCCTGATTGGTGGAGTGCTGCAGAGATGGTTGTCCTTCTGGAAGCTTCTCCCATCTCCACAGAGGAACTCTGGAGCTCTGTCAGGTTCTTGGTCACCTCCCTGACCAAGGCCCTTCTCCTCCGATTGCTGTTTGGCCGGGCGGACAGATCTAGGAAGAGTCTTGGTGGTTCCAAACTTCTTCCATTTAATAATGATGGAGGCCACTGTGTTCTTGGGGACCTTCAATGCTGCAGACATTTTTTGGTACCCTTCCCCAGATCTGTGCCTCGACACAATCCTGTTTCGGAGCACTATGGACAATTCCTTCGACCTCATGGCTTGGTTTTTGCTCTGACATGCACTGTCAACTATGGGACCTTATATAGACAGGTGTGTGCCTTTCCAAATCATGTCCAATCAGTTGAATTGACCACAGGTGGACTCCAATCAAGTTGTAGAAACATCTCAAGGATGATAAATGGAAACAGGATGCACCTGAGCTCAATATCGAGTCTCATAGCAAAGGGTCTGAATACTTATGTAAATAAGGTATCTGTTTTTATTTTTAATACATTTGCACACAAAAAAATGTAATTATGGAGTATTGTGTGTAGATTGATGAGGAAATTGATGTATTTAATCCATTTTAGAATAAGGCTGTAACTTAACAAAATGTGGAAAAAGTCAAGGGGTCTGAATACTTTCACTGCACTGTCTCCCGAAAGCATGATTGTGTACTTACTACATGCACATGCTAAAAGAAAGAAATTAGGTGGGTAGATAACTCGCTCATCAACTCATCCTTGACCGCTGGCTATGTCCCTTCCGAGTTCATCAATGAGCTTGACGCGTTGATAAGTTCCTTTCCTGAGGA